TTCAGTTGTGCATGTGGTACACTGTATATAACATACAAGCAATGTATCATTTCAGTCGGAGACGTACACCCTTTAAGTAACATTCAGGCAAGGTGTCATTTCAGTCGGGCACGTGACAGACTTTCTATAACACTGAGGCAAGGTATCATTTCAGTCGTGCACGTGGTACACAGTATATAACATAGAGGTTAGGTATAATTTCAGTCGGACACGTGGTACCCTGTATATAACATAGAGGCTAAATATAATTTCAGTCGGACACGTGGTACACTTTATATAACATAGAGGCTTGATATTTCAGTCGGACACGTGGTACACTTTATATAACATAGAGGCTTAATATAATTTCTGTCGGGCACGTGGTACACTTTATATAACATAGAGGCAAGGTATCATTTCAGTCGTGCACGTGGTACACTTTATATAACATAGAGGTTAGGTATCATTTCAGCCGGACACGTGGCACCCTTTATGTAACATAGAGGTTTGATATTTCAGTCGGACACGTGGCACTCTTTATATAACATAGAGGCAAGGTATCATTTCAGTAGGACACGTTGCACAGTTTATATAACATAGAGGCAGGGTATAATTTCAGTCGGGCAGGTGGCACCCTTCATATATCACAGAGGCAAGGTATCATTTCAGCCGAACACGTGGTACACTTTAAATATAACATAGAAGCTTGAGATCGTTTCAGTCGGGCACGTGGTACCCTGTATATATCATAGAGGCTTGATATTTCAGTCGGACACGTGGCACCCTTTATGTAACATGGAGGTTTGATATTTCAGTAGGACACGTGGCACTCTTTATATAACATAGATGCAGGGTATAAGTTTAGTCGGGCATGTGACACCCTTTATATAACAGCTGTGAAGCATCATTTCAGTCGGGCCCTTTACCTTTACATAATATATCATTTCAGCTGGTACCTGACACCCACGTAAGTGGCCTACAAACATGAAAGAAACCTGAGTGGAATAATTGGGTTTAATTTACATATCACATAAATCCTTTGTAAATACTTGACGTTTTGTTGACACTTGACAAATCATTATATGTTTGTGTTCACATATCCCTGATTTATGTTAGTTAGTGCAGATATGCGTTTGTCATAGTAGAGGGTTACTATGAAAAGTGTGTGGTTGTTCCCACGGAAAAGGCATCAAACAATATTACCACTGTATAGAAGCATCGCCACATTAACCATATATCCGTGGTATAAATGACACGTTTAATGAGATCGCACATTATCTTTTCAGAAGGAAGACCATGTTTGTAAGTAAAGGTAACCGTTTAATACAATATATTCCTTTTGCATCAAATTAACGGGAGGTTTATTGGCTCTGCCCAAACATATCCTGTGTAGGTGTCTCAGGTAATGTTACTGGGGTCACAAGGAGCCTTCAGTCAACCAGCAGAAACTTGTACCCGTTTCGAGTAAATATGAAAAGTCATTGCAAGAGTAATAGTCAGTCTGAATTATCCGCTGAAACACATTCCTCATGCATAAAGGGCTAAGTATCTGTGGAGAGTATATGAATGGAAGAAGCCAGTCAGCCAGACTGACATGGATGATGCATGTCATCGTAGTGGTACAGATGCTCATGATGTCGGTCACTGGAATTGCTGGTAAGGATCAAAGCATTTACAGCCCGACGTCTGAAAGCTGGGATATTCGTGCGGCGTTAGACAACATGAACGTAAAAAATCATATTTGTTATGGTTATGAAAAGGGTATGTCGCTTTTATTTACTTATACATGGTGGTAGAGCGAACTGTATTTCTTAAACAGCACGTCACGCCGAAGACCCGGGTTCAATTCCCCACATGGGCACAATGTGTTAAGCCCATTTCTGGTGTCCCCCGCCGTGATATTGCTGGAATATTGCTAAAAGCGGCGTAAAACTAAACTCAGTCAGTCAGTCTGTCAGTCTTAAACAGCAGCTTTCATATAGCTAGAATATTGTTGAGTTGATTTGTGGTTGACTTGCTACAACTGTGTTGTGTTGTTACAGGTATGTTGTAGTGTTGCTACAGGTATGTTGTATTGTTGCTACAGGTATGTTGTAGTGTTGCTACAGGTATGTTGTAGTGTTGCTACAGGTGTGTTTTAGTGTCGTTACAGGTATGTTGTAGTGTTGCTACAGGTAAGTTGTAGTGTTGCTACAAGTATGTTTTAGTCTCGTTACAAGTATGTTGTAGTGTTGCTACAGGTGTGTTGTAGTGTTGCTACAGGTATGTTGTAGTGTTGCTACAGGTATGTTGTAGTGTCGTTACAGGTATGTTGTGTCGTTACAGGTATGTTGTAGAGCTGCTACAAGTGTGTTGTGTTGTTACAGGTATGTTGTAGAGCTGCTACAGGTGTGTTGTAGTGTTGCTACAGGTATGTTGTAGTGTTGCTACAGGTATGTTGTAGTGTCGTTACAGGTATGTTGTATCGTTACAGGTATGTTGTAGTGTTGCTACAGGTATGTTGTAGTGTCGTTACAGGTATGTTGTAGTGTTGCTACAGGTATGTTGTAGTGTCGTTACAGGTATGTTGTAGTGTTGCTACAGGTAAGTTGTAGTGTTGCTACAAGTATGTTTTAGTCTCGCTACAGGTATGTTGTAGAGCTGCTACAGGTGTGTTGTGTTGTTACAGGTATGTTGTTGAACTGCTATAGGTGTGTTGTAGTGTTGTTACAGGTGTGTTGTAGAGCTGCTACAGCTGTGTTGTTGTGTTGTTACAGGTGTGTTGTAGAGCTGCTACAGGTGTGCCGTTGTGTTGTTACAGGTGTGTTGTAGAGTTATTACAGGTATGTTGTAGTGTTGCTACAGGTGTGCTGTAGAATTGTTACAGGTGTGATGTAGAAGTGCTACAAGTGTGTTGTTGTGTTGCCACAGGTATGTTGTAGTGTTGCTACAGGTATGTTGTAGTATTGTTACAGGTATGTGGTAGAGCTGCTACGGGTGTTTTGTAGAATTGCTATAGGTATGTTGTAGTGTCGTTACAGGTATGTTGTAGTGTTGCTACAGGTATGTTGTAGTGTCGTTACAGGTATGTTGTAGTATTGCTACAGGTATGTTGTAGTGTCGTTACAGGTATGTTGTAGTGTTGCTACAGGTGTGTTGTGTTGTTACAGGTATGTTGTAGTGTTGTTACAGGTGTGTTGTAGTGTTGCTACAGGTATGTTGTAGAGTTGCTACAGGTATGTTGTAGTGTCGTTACAGGTGTTTTGTAGAATTGTTACAGATGTGTTGTAGAGCTGCTACAGGTGTGTTGTTGAACTGCTATAGGTGTGTTGTAGTGTTGTTACAGGTGTGTTGTAGAGCTGCTACAGGTGTGTTGTTGTGTTGTTACAGGTGTGTTGTAGAGCTGCTACAGGTGTGCCGTTGTGTTGTTACAAGTGTGTTGTAGTGTTATTACAGGTATGTTGTAGTGTTGCTACAGGTGTGCTGTAGAATTGTTACAGGTGTGATGTAGAGGTGCTACAGGTGTGTTGTTGTGTTGCCACCGGTATGTTGTAGTGTTGCTACAGGTATGTTGTAGTATTGTTACAGGTATGTGGTAGAGCTGCTACAGGTGTGTTGTAGTGTCGTTACAGGTATGTTGTAGTGTTGCTACAGGTATGTTGTAATGTCGTTACAGGTATGTTGTATTGTTGCTACAGGTATGTAGTAGTGTCGTTACAGGTATGTTGTAGTGTTGCTACAGGTAAGTTGTAGTGTTGCTACAAGTATGTTGTAGTCTCGTTACAGGTATGTTGTAGTGTTGCTACAGGTATGTTGTAGTGTTGCTACAGGTATGTTGTAGTGTCGGGACAGGTGTGCTGTAGAATTGTTACAGGTGTGTTGTAGAGCTGCTACAGGTGTGTTGTGTTGTTACAGGTATGTTGTAGTGTTGTTACAGGTGTGTTGTTGAACTGCTATAGGTGTGTTGTAGTGTTGTTACAGGTGTGTTGTAGAGCTGCTACAGGTGTGTTGTGTTGTTACAGGTATGTTGTAGTGTTGTTACAGGTGTGTTGTAGAGCTGCTACAGGTGTGCCGTTGTGTTGTTACAAGTGTGTTGTAGAGTTATTACAGGTATGTTGTAGTGTTGCTACAGGTGTGCTGTAGAATTGTTACAGGTGTGATGTAGAGGTGCTACAGGTTTTGTGTTGTGTTGCCACAGGTGTGTTGTAGAGTTGCTACAGCTGTGTTGTAGTGTTGCTACAGGTATGTTGTAGAGCTGCTATAGGTGTGTTGTAGTGTTACCACAGATATGGTGTAGTGTTGCTACAGGTGTATTGTAGTGTTGCTACAGGTATGTTGTAGTGTTGCTACAGGTATGTTGTAGAGCTGCTACAGGTGTGTTGTAGTGTTGCTACAGGTATGTTGTAGAGTTGTTACTGCTGTTGTAGTGTTGCTACAGGTGTGTTGTAGTGTTGCTACAGGTATGTTGTAGAGTTGTTACTGCTGTTGTAGTGTTGCTACAGGTGTGTTGTAGTGTTGCTACAGGTATGTTGTAGAGTTGTTACTGCTGTTGTAGTGTTGCTACAGCTGTGTTGTAGTGTTGCTACAGGTATGTTGTAGAGCTGCTATAGGTGTGTTGTAGTGTTGCCACAGATATGGTGTAGTGTTGCTACAGGTGTGTTGTAGTGTTGCTACAGGTATGTTGTAGAGTTGTTACTGCTGTTGTAGTGTTGCTACAGGTGTGTTGTAGTGTTGCTACAGGTATGTTGTAGAGTTGTTACTGCTGTTGTAGTGTTGCTACAGGTGTGTTGTAGTGTTGCTACAGGTATGTTGTAGTGTTGCTACAGGTATGTTGTAGAGCTGCTATAGGTGTGTTGTAGTGTTGCCACAGATATGGCGTAGTGTTGCTACAGGTGTGATGTGGAGGTGCTACATGTGTGTTGTAGCATTAATGCAGGCACAAGTCTGTTGTAAAATTGCAAGTACGTGGTAAGAGTTATTTATCTATTGACACTATAAGTCCGACGTAGTATTATTGCCAGGCTTATTGTATCTGTGTGAATTTGATATGTCCAAATTGTGTAGCTGAAAGGCGCGTGGGACTACCTGAGCATACATGCATGGGTTATTGTTGACAATATACAGCCATACCGCGTCCTCGAGCTGGGAGATAGTATAGAGGCGGACAGGTATTGACACTGTACAGCTGTATCTTGACGGGACGGGACGGGTGCCTCTGAAACTCCGTTGATCTGTCACATCCATCCCGGTGCCAACATGATTGGGATACTGCTTGTGGTACTGGCTGGTATTTGTGTCACTGCTGGAGAATACGAACTATTCGGTGAGTGTTTCACAACTTATTTTCTAGAATTGTCGTCATTTATCTTGCTTCGGAACATGACCTATTGGGTGGGTTTTCAACAACAGCTTTTCTAGAATGGTGTCATTTGTCTGGCTTCAGAACGCACACTATTGGGCGGGTATTTAGCAACAAGTTTTCTGGAGTGAGTGAGTGAGTGAGTGAGAGTAGTTTTACGCCGCACTCAGTAATGTTACAGCTATATGGCGGCGGTCTGTAAATAATCGAGTCTCGACCGGACAATCCACTGATCAACAGCATGAGTATCGATCTACGCAATTGGGAACCGATGACATGTGTCAACCAAGTCAGCGAGTCTGACCACCCGATCCCGTTAGTCGCCTCTTACGACAAGCATGGGTTGCTGAAGATCAATATTCTAACCCGGACCTTCACGGGTACAGGTTTTCTGGAATGGTGGCATTTGCCATGCTTCACAACACGATATATTGGGTGGGTGTTTAGCAACAGCTTTTCTGGAATGATGGCATTTGTCATGCATCAGGAAACGAACTGTTTGGTGGTGTTTAGCAACAGCTTTTCTGGAATGATGGCATTTGTCATGCTTCAGAACACGAACTGTTGGGTGAGTGTTTAGCAACAGATTTTCTGGAATGATGGCATTTGTCATGCATCAGAACACGAACTGTTGGGTGGTGTTTAGCAACAGCTTTTCTGGAATGGTGGCATTTGTCATGCTTCAGAACACGAACTGTTGGGTGAGTGTTTAGCAACAGCTTTTCTGGAATGGTGGCATTTGTCATGCATCAGAACACGAACTGTTGGCTGAGTGTTTAGCAACAGCTTTTCTGGAATGGTGGCATTTGTCATGCTTCAGAACACGAACTGTTGGGTGAGTGTTTAGCAACAGATTTTCTGGAATGATGGCATTTGTCATGCATCAGAACACGAACTGTTTGGTGGTGTTTAGCAACAGCTTTTCTGGAATGGTGGCATTTGTCATGCTTCAGAACACGAACTGTTGGGTGAGTGTTTAGCAACAGATTTTCTGGAATAATGGCATTTGTCATGCTTCAGAACACGAACTGTTGTTTGGGTGTTTAGCAACAGCTTTTCTGGAATGGTGGCATTTGATGCAATTACAGAAACATGGGTACTATTCGGCGAGTGTTTAACAGCACGTTTGTTTTTTCTGGGATGCCGGCATTTGTCACGCTATATACTACTTGTATGTTGTACTCGTGAAAGCATTTCCCATATTTCAGTACTCTATATATTAAAAACATGGCAATACCATTGCTGATTACTTTAACATATTTTCTCGTGAATGCCCTGTTACAAGTTCGTCGAACAATATATCGGCAAATCGTGTGTGGTGTATTACTAAATAGCTTCGTAATATGAAAACGAAATGTGTTTTGTTCAGTTTGTAAAGGTAAACATGGCATTGTGTACAACTTTCTTACTCGAGAGGCTCAACCGAAGTCCCTTAATGAATACACATGCATTGTGTAATACAGAGCTCGACATGTATCTAACGCCCTACTGCATATATCAATAGAGACTTAGAAATATGCCGTTCATGAATACATGCATTCCTGCAGATACCCCTTTTTTACCATTCTGCACTGGGCTGAGTTGCTGTTGACGATCGACACCATCCAAGGTGCCCGAGGTCAGCAATACAGATCAAGTGATCTGAAACTGGGCTCTTATTCTCGAAACGTTCGTAGCCCTAAGAATTCTTAACTGTGATCGTAGCCAATGTGCTAAGAATGGACTTAAGAAGTTCGTAGGGCGACGAACGTTTCGAGAATTGCTAGCCAGGTCTCTATAGAATCCAGCTCAAACGGTTCAAACTGGTGCAAACTTTGATCAAACTAGTGCGTTCAGTTGCAGCTCAGAAGATTACAAATCGTTTTCGCGTAGTACATCTCCATCCTCGGCGGCGCTCCTAAGAAATCGCCGTGTTGCCAGCTGGCGTCAATACTGTACAGAACGTCGAAACTTGTTTATTCGTCCCTGGTTACGTGTTTTTAGATGAGTACCGATTCCTTTTCTTGATAGTCGTGGGCGTGTCTGGCGACATAAAAGTCAAGTCCAATGTCAGCCTTAGCCCTCATGACGAATTTGGGGATGGGTATGCTTTGGTGAAGGGTGGTACGAAACGTCAATACTTTCCTCTAACAGCACCACACGATTCGTATAATTTCACGGCTTGCAATACGCCTTGGCCTTTCCCACATCGATCACGTCTGGGACAGGATAGGGATACTTGTGCGTCAATCTCATATACCGAGTGAACTTGCCTGAACTTGGTCAGGTGCTGCAGGAGGAGTGGCACAGGCTCCACCAAATCGCCATTGTGAGACTCATGCACAGTATGCTGCGTCGAATGAATGATTCCATGAAGAAACACGGAGTTATGAAGTCTTACACATCCCAAAACGTCATCTTTCCCTGCAGTAATTTCCCATTTTGGCCCTTGAATCCGTGAAGATCGCTGGCGGTCTCACTTTACTGCCGGTTGTGGTGTGTACTCTATTCATTACATCCTACAACTGATACTGGAAACACATATTTCTTAACCCGTGAAGATCCGGGTTAGAATTGATCTTCGGAAACTGATGCTTGTAGTAAGAGACAACTAACGTGATCGGGTGGCCACACTTGCTGACTTGGTTGACATATGTGATCGTATCCTAATTGCGTAGATCGAGGCTCATGCTGTTGATCACTGGATTGTCTGGTCCAGACTCGATTGTTTACAGTCCGTGGCCATATAGCTGGAATATTACTGAGTGCGGCGTACAAAAAGAAACCAACCAGCCAGATATATCTTACAAGGTATCCCCTACTTTTGAAGAAGAGCATGTTTACCCTGGATTCGGTTAAGTATCGTGATGTTCAGACAACATTTAGAAACATGCCTTAAGCAATGCTATACATATGTATCCTATATTAAGTGTGTATGTGTCGAGTTGTATGAATGGAGAAGATCAGTTACATGACGTGTTAAACATATTAATGTGAGTCGTGGGAGCGATGTTTCAGGGAGAGTCATTGCTGGTGTCAGTTATAGCCATAAGGTACGAAAAAAGATCAGTTAGGTTGACCTTGAACCTTTAGCCAAGGGAAACATTCTAACAGACCACGTGTAGCAACTAACGTCTAATGAATAATCATTCAACAATCGTGGTCTTACTCGTCAAAGGTACTGTATATTTTAAACGCATTTCAGGCCTCGTTTTTTATTCAGTATATGAATTGAATGTAGGTCAGTGGTGAACGTTTTATTGTTAGAGCATTGGTTCGTCGCGCCAAAGATCAAGGTTCGATTCCAATACATTCTGTTTAAACCTCGTTTCTCGTCCCCCTCTCTTAGTAACATGGCTGGACTATTGCAAATATGCTCACCAACACAAATGGGACGGATGTGATATATGAAATAGAAATATTGCAATGCAACTAACTTATTTATCAGATACAAAACATTGTGTAAACAGACAACAAGACCATTTTTGTATTTGGAGCGTTGGGGTAGCACTGTGGTTAAAGCATTATCTCGTCACGCCGAAGGTCCGGGTTCGATACCCCACATGAGTACAATGTGTGAAGCCCATTTCTGGTGTCCCCTGCCGTGATATTACTGGAATAAGGCTGAAGTCGGCGTAAAACTAAACTCACTCACTGACTCTTTTTATATTCCGTATGTAACATAGAGTTTTGGATGGTGGTGCACAGTGGTTGCTCGGCACGCCAACAACTCTCTATGATTTCAATTTTCAAAGTAGCATAGTCAGTTTTAAACGTATCCCAGAATTGCTAACGATGGCCTAAAATTCATCTCACATACACATATTTAGACAGAGTGTGTAATCACGCACAAGGGGAAGATAACACGGCCGAGCACGACCTCAACTGACCCAACTCTTTGTACAGCCACTGAGGCCGTGCATACCCATACATGATGACAATCTGGAAGAACTATGTCAATCAAAAGTATGTAAGACATCAGAGAGACATGCAATTACCTTTCTTCCTCAAAACATGTAGCAATTTTTTAGTATCATTGGTCTCTAGTGTGGTGATCTACCTCCAGTTGCTGGTGATCTATAGCCTGTTATTATATTATAATGTCCTAAATAGTATATACTTTTAATTATAGCTAAAATACATGGAGTTATCATGAAACGGCCCTCCTGTTATCAGAAATTTGCGGTCCGCTGCAAATGATATTGGACCGCTCAACCTTAACGACGGGCCACTATCAGTTCTGTTGTCAAGTGACGTCATAGTTCGACATTAGTGGCTTTCGACTGGCAGATATTCTGGGTCAAACAAGTCAAAGCAACCCAAATTCCCGCTTTAAATAGCTGTAATATTGGCTTTCTTGTTGGTGCTAACCTTAACAATTGCACTATTAAGACTGTTGATGGACCAAAACCGAACACTGTCATAGCTTGACATGTTGCAGGCTATGGTCTTGTCAAAGGCCAAGGTCGAATATCGTCACTATCTGTTGTGACGTCACTTGAATTGTTCGATGACGTAATTGCATTCGGGCAGTCAAGCCCGTCAGAAGTTGATTTGGGTAAACGTACAGTCAAATTCCTTCATTGTTTCCTTTTTCTTTTCAACACAAATTCCATGTATTTTAGCAATAATAACGGTAATGCTATTTTTGAGGGCATTATCATTTTGCAGAAGCCCTCGGTCTTTATCAACTGCCCTCCTTCGTCGGGCAGTTAATGGAAGACCTCGGGCTTCTGCAAATGATAATGCCCTCAAAAATAGCATTACCCTTATAGTAACATGCTAGTTTTAAATCTCGCACTGTGATATTCTAGGTTCTGTTACTGTCATTCGCAGACAGATTTTAAGATATAACATCATCAATTATTTAAATATGACCATTTTAAGTCACGATATGGCTGAAATATTGCCAAAGTGACTATAAAATTTAACTCACTCACTACAGCATCATTGGTATGGATTGTCTGAAGTATAGTCGATGTCCA